GGGAGAGCAGCGGGGCGGGCGCTTGCAGGGGTGGGAGTGGATGTGCTCAGCGCTCGCACCCGGGCCAAGGCGTTAAGGCTCTGTTTAATCAGCCCCTTGGGGTCGGCTGAGGCGCTTGGTCTGTTCAGCCTGGAGGAGGCAGAGGGGAGAGCTCATCGCTGCGTGCAGCTTCCTCGCGAGGGGTCGGCACTGATCTCTGCCAGGACCCAAAGGAATGGACTGAAATTGCATCGGGGAGGGTTATGTTGGATATTAGGCAAAGGTTCTTCCCTCAGAGGGTGTTTGAGCACTGGAACAGCTCCCCAGAGCAGTGCTCACAGCCCCAAGCCTGACAGAGCTCGAGATGCATTTGGACAACGTTCTCAGGCACGAGGTGAATTGTTGGGGTGTTCTGTGCAAGGCCAAGAGTTGGATCCCCATGGGTCCCTTCCAGCTCTGAATCCTCAGTGATTCCATGAACTCATTTTTCCTCAAAACGGCCACTCCTTTGGCAGGCTGGGGCCGACCAGGCTTTCAGACAGCCAGGAGGAAGCCTGTACGCCTGACCTTGCCTTGCATAAGCCGCTCACGGGAACACCGAGTTCTTGCCCTCAGGCTGTAACAAGAGTGTGTGCAATCCCAGCGTGATCTCGGGGCTGCACTCAGTGGTCCTTGGGTGTCCTTTCCAGCCTGGGACATTCTGTGACTCTGCAGAGGAGCTGTGACCTCTTGGCCCTGCACCCACGTGGCCTCTGCCGGGTGTAGTGTGGCGCGAGCATGATGATGATGATGATGATGATGATGGTTTCTCTTTCTGCCCCGCAGCCGGGCACCCCCGATGAGAGCCGCGTCCCCGGCCCCAGCTCCTCGTGCTGCCGTTCCTGCCGCGGCTCCACCCTCGGCCGTGGGGGCCCCGGCGCCCAAGCAGCCTGGGCTGATGGCTCAGATGGCCACAACTGCCGCGGGGGTTGCCGTGGGCTCGGCCGGGGGACACACCATCGGCCATGCCAATCGGCCATGCCCTCACGGGAGGATTCAGTGGAGGAAGCAGCTCCGAGGCTGCCAGGCCTGATATTACTTACCAGGTGAGGCAGAGCACAGCTAGACACTGCTGAGATGCTGATAGCTGGGCAGATGTGCTGAGGTAATCAGTAGAGGCATCAACACCGCACAGGTCACAGGGTGTACACTTACAGTCTCTGTAGAGTCTATATATATAACCATATATATGGTTAGTCTATAGTTAGAGACTTAATCTCCAAGGTAATCACCACACTCACCATGATTATCTTCAAAGCCGTTCCAAGGGATGCACAAGTGATCTGTGCTTGTGGCAGAGTGTTAGTGTTGTTTTCTACTCTAATATTCCTCTGATTCAGGCAGCACTTCCATGTTCCAGGTCTGAAGATGGTAAGGTCTGTTGCAAGGCTGCACAGACATTAGGATAAAGCTGTTGCCTTACCCAGAGGCCATCCAGACATACCTGAGTATAACATACATATATATATAACATACAAAACAGCTCAGGATGTGTCATGCCACTGCTGGAGAGTTTTGTACTTCAGCCCATTATTTGTTTCCCATTTACAAAGGAAGATTTGACTAAAAGGCAGGGAATAAAGCTCAGCAGTCAGCACGGGGGTGGTTTGGCTGTGAGCTGGAGCTGTTGGAAGGGCCCTGACAGAGGTGTGTGCTGTTTCAGGAGCCCCAGGCCGCTCAGCCTGCCTACCAGCAGCAGCAGCAGCAGATGGCTCCTTGCCAGTATGAGATGAAACAGTTCCTGGAGTGTGCACAGAACCAGACTGACCTCAAGCTGTGCGAGGGCTTCAGTGAGGTGCTGAAGCAGTGCAGGTTTGCCAATGGTAAGTAGACAGTGCTGACAGGCAACTACTGAATGGGCCAAGCAGTAAAATTACCATGGGATTGATGTCCTGGGAGTTTCAGTCCATCTGGTAAGGAATGGGGTTGATAGAAGGTGACCTGAAGTCAGGTCAAGCAGCTGCTGTTCTCTTGGGCTTCCTGGTTTGGTTCAGTCCATTTTGCTGGAGGTGATGGGGTGGAGAGAGGGTGAATTCCTCAGGCTTTTGTGCTGGTGCATGGATTGAAGCTAACTGGGAAGGTGGCAGCAGCACTTTGGAGAGTCAGCAGAGCACTGTGGGCCTGTAGCAAGGATAACAGCCAAACCACTCTGACCTGGGAGGAAGGAGCCTGCTGTACACTGTTGCTGTGCTGATGTCTGCAGTTCAGCATGTCCCAGTAAATGGATGAGGGGAGGGGGAACATCCTAACAAATCTGCCATTCAGGAATCCAAACCTCACTGTGGTATCTCCTTACCTTTCAGGTCTGGCCTAAGCCTGCAGAGCAAAGCTGCTGAAGACCATCCGGCAAGAACTGACCTATGAATGAAAAAAAAAGCTTCAGTAATAAAGTCTAAGCTGTCTGATATCTTGTTAGTTCATACATTCACACTCTCATCCTCATGGCTTGACTCCTGCCATAGCTGCCTCAGATGTGATGCAACTTAACAGCCGCAAATTAATCTAGCACAAATTGGAAGAGTGAATAATAAAGCAGAATGAGCTCATTGGGGTGAACTGGTTTGCTGATTGTTTTTGAATGTATGTGATATGGTGTATGAATAAACTTTTCTTTCTAGAAGTAGCTTTTGTTAGTGGACTCAGGTTCAGCCTGAAGGGTGAGGAGGAGAATGCTGGTTCTGGCAGGGTTTGGTGTGCCTGGAGGGCTGGAGCTACAGGAGGTCAGGAATGCTGCTCAGTGATTACCTGTGCCTGTCAGACACCTCCTTCTTGAGCATTTGAACCCTACAGGCAACTTCTGCTGATGAAAATAGGTAATGACAGGGAAAGCTGTGGCTGACCATGCTATTCTTGCTCTGTTCAGATTCAAGGGATTCTGAGCAGTGACTTCCCTCTGCTCAGAGGATCTCTGGGTAGGCTCTTCCCTCTCAGAGAGGATCTTGGTGACAGGCCATTACCTGTGCCAGCCTGGCACTACCAAGCAGCTGTGCACTTCTAAGATAACAGTCTTGCATCAGACAAGTTCCCAGGAACAGCTGCTGAGGCTGTAGGTGTTTTCCTTCACCCTGTGACAGGAGCTGGGGGCTGAAACATGAGAGGATGGGCCCGTGGCCTTTTCTTCCTCATGCCTGGCTTAGGCAAGTGACAAAGCCACTGCTGCTACCTGAAGCAAAAATAATTTTCACAGTATTTACTGATGCAAAGTGCAAACCCTCTGTTCCATCGGAGGGAGCAGCCAGCTCAGATCCTTGGAGCTTACAGAGTAAACACCCTCTTGCACTCCATGGTAAGCCCTGGATAAGGTGCACTCCCACGAGGAGTGTGGTGAGGAATAACCCTGCACTGGAAAGTGCAATTCCTTCTAAAAATGCTTTTTATAGCATGACCTGTTTTTCCTGCTCTGCTTTTATGCTGCTGGATATTCTGCACGTTCCTAAACCATTCACCTCTCATCTCCAGCTCCTGGAAGTGAAAGGATGAAATCAGTGTTCAGAAAACAGGGAATGTTCACCTCACACGTTGGGGATGAGGACAGAACTGCCTGTCCTGGGGGCATGAGCAGCTTTGCCTCTGCTGAATGAGCTCCAGTCTCACTTTGAGGTGTTCCTGTCCTTGTGAACAGAAGCACAACCCATTTGGGCCAAACTGAGAGGACCAGAAGAAATGGCCTTAAACTGAGACAGGGGAGATCTGGACCAGATGTCAGGAAATTTTTTTTCACTCTTAGGGTGGACAGATATTGGAACAGGTTGTCCAGAGAGGTAATGGAGTCACCATCCCTGCAGGTGCTCGAGAGGCATACGGAGCTGGTGCTGGGTGATGCAGTTTGAGAGTTACAGAGGTACTTCTGGCTGGACGCTTGGTCTGGATGATCCCAAAGATCTCTTCCAACTCCGTGACCCTACGCCCCAAACCCACCCGCAGCAGACACCCCCGCACG